GCACCCCGGCCCATTCCAATGAAAGCAATACCGGCACCCATGGCGGCATCCTTGTCCTTGGTGATGTCTCCTGCGGCCTGACCGCCTTAGAATCCTACTCCAACCAGGGCTGTGGGTTTCAAGCTTTCCTTTGGCAAGCGACTGACCTCACCATCCTGGTGGCTGGCACTTACTTGAAGACTGGAGAGACTTTGCAGAGTGAAGTCAATGCCACGATCCTTGCAAGGTTGCTAGCTTTGGTACAGGCCGCAAATCACCCTTTTGTGCTCTTGGGTGATTGGCAAAACAGTCCAGGCTCCATAGCAAGCACGGTGCTACCTTCCAAGTTCCACTTTGAAGTTTTGGCCCCAGATGTCAGTTTGCTCTCCGGCAATGTCATCGACTATGCCCTGATCCACACCAGCTTGGCCGGCACCACTTCGATCACCACTGAGTGGGCCATTCCTTGGCGGCCACACGCACTCCTCACATATCACTTCAACATCGAAGAAGCCACCAAAGAATACAGGCAGATTCAGCAATTTCCACCACTACCAGCCACACCGGACATTGACTTCCGGCCTTGGACCACGTACAAGTCCACTGCCTACGAGCTTGACCTCTATGGCAACCCGCCCAATGAAACCGCACAGCAATGGGCTGACTGGCTCTCGTGCACTGAGCAATACCTCCTTCAGGAGCACCCTTGGGCACCACAAGGAAGGGGCTCCAGTCTCAGGGCATGCCATAAACCCCTGACACCCAGCCACACAGTCACCACCTGGAAGAGAGGAAGACCGGCCTTCTGGGAGCAACTGAAGGCCCGTTTCCAGCTGGCCCTAAAACAACCCACACTGCAGGCCAGAGGACCGACCAAAGGCTTCATGCAAGCCACAGCTGATGTGCCCAAGCATTGGGTGGGAACCCCCACATGGGGTCAATTTCTTGATACTTGCCATCATTGGCGGCATTACCGTGATGAGCATGCTGCCACGCTCATTTGCCACACCCTTGAACATCAGCTTCAACTGGCCCACCAGGCTGCCAATGATGAAAACCATCTACAATACAAAGCATGGCTCCAACAAGGCTACACCAAGGGCCTGAAAGGCCTGTTCCGCAGCCTGCGCAGCAGCGAATTGGCATGGGAAAGACCATACAGAACCTTGCCACCTGATGAGAGGATGACACAAAGACTTCAAGACTGGGGAAAGCTTTGGCAAATCAGGCAAGAAGACCAACCACCTGAGCGACTTACCCTCCAAGCACTCGCCAAGCAGCAAGGACAGCAGCTAGAGCCTCTGACTCTCAGCCAACTCACGTGGGCGCTCCGCCACCTGCCTGATAAAGCTTGTGGTCCTGATGCAGTGACAGCACAAATGCTCCGAACGGCTCCCCCACTGGCTGTCAAGGCCCTTCTCAAGCTCTACCAAGCGATGGAAACCAAGGTTCAGCTGCCCACCCAACAGCAGATGCACATGGTGGTGATGCTCCCAAAAAACGAAGCCAAAGAACGGCCCATCACACTCACATCCCTGCTCTACAGGGTATGGTGTCGCCTGCGAAAGCCCTTGCTAGATGACTGGCAAAAACAACTACCAGCCACCATGCAACATGACAGAGCCAGACCAGGGGCACAAGTGCTCCATGTAGCCCTCGAACGGCTACTGCGACAAGAGGTGCATCGAGCAACTGGACAATATGGAGTGACCTGCCTTATGGACATGTCCACTTTCTACGACACCATCAACCTTCAGCGACTCCAGACTGAAGCCCTGAACTTGCAGTACCCTCCACTGATGCTTGAAATGGCTTTGCAAGTCTATCATGGCCCCAAGGCCATAGTTGCGGAGCAGGAGATGACGCCCTTTTTCACCGTCACCCATGGAGTCCCAGCTGGCTGCCCCCAGGCCCCTCTGCTGGCCAAGGCAGTACTCGCCCCAGCACTCCAACCATGGCAGCAAGCACATCCCAACATCCACCTCTCCAGTTGGGCTGACGATGTCGGTTTTGACACGGCCAGCAAAACCCCAGTCCAGGCAGCGAGAGCTTCTGTTGCAGCCTACCGAGACCTCCACGCAAGGCTCCAGCAACTAGGCCTTCAAGTCAATCCGAAGAAGACAGCCTTTGTCACCACTGACAAGGCCACTGATCGAGAACTCAGGGCTTTGCTCACCGAAAACGATCCCCAGATAGCGCCAGTCATGAGAGACTTAGGCATTGATCACCAGGCAGCCCGCAAGAGGAGGATCCCGGTGATGAAGCAGCGCATTAAAAAAGCCCACCGCAGGAAAATCAAGTTGAGGAGCCTCAAAATCCCAGCCCTCAAAGTCCGGCTGCGCCTACATAGGGGAGGCATTCAACCAGTTGCTCTGTGGGGTGTCGAAAGTCAAGGCTTTGCACCACGATATCGAGCGGCATTGAGACACAGCATGGCAAAGCACTTGGGCCATCACACGGGCGGCCTTCTGGATGTCATCTATGATATCCATGCCAAGCGCTACATCGACCCTGCAGATCAGGTCATCATACAGCACATCAGAGCCATCCATCACCTCATCCAAGCATGGCCACCTGACCAAATGCCAACTCTTGAACAAGCGTGGCAATTGACCAGACAGCAGCTGCAGGAGAAACAATACCCATGGTACACTGTACGAGGACCCTTGGCAGCCACGATTGTCTACCTCCTGGAATGGGGATGGCAACCGAGAGACCTCCTGCATTGGCACCGGCCAGAAACCAAGCTGACGCTGGCTGAAGAGCTACACCTTCAGCAACCATGGTGGGTCATTGAGCGAACCCTCACCCGTGAAGCTCAACAGCAGCGCACAGCCAGACTCGCCAGTAAGCAATACTGCCAAGACTTGTTGACAGGACTGGATTGGCACACCTACAGGCAAGTGAGGAAGCACCTCAAGCAACAACAACAGCACCACCTTGACACCTGGGTCCAGGCGGCATTGCATTTCAGAGATGCGCACCAGACCAAGACCTGTCCGCAGTGCCAAGTCCCGGCCACGGCAAAGCACATACTCTGGCTATGCAAATGGCACAAAACTCAAAACCATGAACCCATGCCACCTGAGTGGATGGACCGCATCACCAGTCATGATGAAGAACGCTTGTGGGCACATGGATGGATACCTCTCGAACCGCAAGAAGCAAGAACTCAGCAGCATCCACTCCAGGGACATGGCTGCTGGGCCGGCATGCAAGTCATCCCGCTCCAACAACACTGTGGCTGGGCTTTCACTCTGGATGCTACTCCATCCACCTATGACCATCGCAGCCAGATGTGGATCTTTGGTCTTTGTGCCCACAACATGGCCCTGGGACAACTCAAGAAGCTGGGATCCATCACTGGGGTAGCGACAGGAGAACAAACCAAAGTCCGGGCGCTTCTCACCGGATTGGTAGCCCTCACACACCACACGGCAGACCATGTCAAGGTCATTGTCCAGCTGGCATCCGTCTGGGAAGCTTGGCACCATGAAAAGCATCGGCACCCCTACCACGACATCTTGGATGAAGTACCACCCCAGGACTTCAAAAGAGTCACGGTGCTATACATCAGCAAAAACACCAGGACGCCAGATCAACCAGCCAACGAGCCGCAACTACGGCGAAGGCAAAGGGAAACAGCACTTGCAGCTTGGGAACGTGCCAAGACCCTGTACGACAGCAAACAGGAGGAATGGCAGGAAACCCTCGACCAAGATCACAAATTGATCTATGAGCATGCCGTCCAACGCCTCAGCAAAATCTTTGCTGACAGCCAGCACTATGTGCACCAAAAGGCTCCTAAGCACCAAGGCAAGCAAACGAAGCAATACAAAAAGGAGCTCATCAACCGCTGTCGACAGGCATGGGATGATGAGCACCACCACTGGGAGCAACACCAAAGAAGCGGATACCAATGCCGCAACTGTGGCCTGCGCATGCACCAAGGCCTTACCGCTGCCATCCTGGAAACCAGGTTGGCCGAGACCTGCCCTCAGAAGGTGTTCCAAGAGGTAGTCAACTCGCCAGACAAGGAGCAACAACTGCCCAGAAAACTCACCAGGGTGCAGCAGATCAAGGCGCTGCTGGACAAACAGCCAGAGCAACCTACGCCAGGCCACCACCAACTGGCTGAAACCACTGGCTACCTGAAGTGCGTGGTGTGCAACCTCAACATCCACAAGAGGGTCAATGAAGAGGCATTCAAAACTTTCATCCACAGCACTTGCATCAACCAAGCCTATCAGGCTGAACACCAAGGACACCCAAGCCATGCACTCTGGCAAGTGGGCGAGCGAGTCAAATGCACGCAATGCGGCACTCAATGGAACTTGGATGGGCAACATCGCATCATTGCGACACAGGCCTTCCACCGATTAGCACCTTCTTTCAGAAAAAGCAAGACAAGTCAAGCAGCCACAGCTCAGAGTCTTTCCCATCTGCTGCAGCAGCCACCACAGGACCTACTCCCAAGCGGCTGCACTTCCCCACGGCCTTGGAGGAAGCAGAACAGGAGGCCCTCACTCACGGCATGTCAGCACTGGCCATGACACCCAGCCAACCAGATGACACAGCCGATGAGGACCACCTCCCAGACATAGCAGTCGACTTCTTTTAGCAGCACCACCATGGCTCCTGCCGAAGGCCGACTGAGCTGACCTGACACCCTGAGCTGGCACCGGCACTCCTGAGGCAAATGCCCAGCCTGAACCGGCCAAATGGCCCAGATAAGCAACTCTAGAAAAATACATACATACATACATACATACATACATACATACTTACATTACATTACATTACATTACATTGCATTGCATTGCATTGCATTACATTACATTACATTACATACATACATACATTAATTACATTAATTACATACATACATACATACATACATACATACATACATACATGCCGTAAATATGTATAATGTGACGTATCTTTGCAGCTGAGGATATCTGGAACACACAACTCCAGTCAGAATTTATTGCGGAAGTCACTTTTTTTCTCCACTTCTCCTTTGCAGACTGCTTTGCCACCTGCAAAGCCCTCTCGCTCCTGTCCGTCAAAAGGACCTTCCAAGTTGCGGCCACATGCACAGCATTCAGCCTGGTACCCTGACTGTCCTGCAAGGGACACATGATGAAACATGTATATAAGTTTGGCACCTCCGCGCCCAGAGCTGCAGCTACAAGGCCCGCGCAGCCTGTGCCGCAGCCGATCTCCACCACCTGTGGACAGGATGAAGGTGTGAAACGAGGGCAACTGAAGATGTCCGGACTGATCAAGAGTTTGAAGGAAGACAGGTACAAGGTACAAGTAGCAAGCTTCAACTCCCAATCAAGGAAACACTACCACAAAAACTTTGCAAGCTTTTCAATATCAGGATCTTTCGACATCTTTCGGGTACAACTGGCCGCCTTGCCGCTCAGCAGCTGAGGCTCTTCAACCAAACGTCGGGCTAACAAGAGCGCGCAATCATAGAGGACCCCAGCAATCCCAACAGATGCATCCTGGTGCAACACCTCAGCCACAAACATCAAACATGCTCATTATCATCAAACATGCTCATTATTCACCAATGGATAAAGGTGGCTGCAGCTCTATTGTGTGGACCACGTCACACATGTTTCTGCTTTCCCTGAAGAAGGCAGCGACCTCAGTCAAGCACCAGCCGGAACTTCTTGCCAGTGCTGGGCGCAAAGGTCAGCTGTAGCCTCTCAGTGTGGTGTGTGGTTTCTTGTCTTGCATGTGACTGCGGTGGAAAATAGAGAGCGCCGGTAACAACATGCAAGGGAGATATAGGTGTGGAGGCTGGTAAAACATGGTAAACGATAGTAAACCAGCGTCAACCGTTTTGATTTGACGGGAATATCTATCCATTTTAAACTTGCTACCCTCTCTCCTTTCGGCATCCAGCCTTCTCGCCTCAGCTCGCTCCAAACTGTCAAAGGAGCGAGGCGCAAGTTCTGCCCGAAGCCCCATGGTGCGCAAGTTCTGCTTAAATGGCTGCGGCGCAACTTGTGCAACAAAAGAAACTGCAAACTCAGGACCATTGGATTCTCCCTGACTGCCATCTCACTTACCCATTCGAACTCATCAGCATTCACGGCAACGCAAAAAAGAACGTGCGGGCTAGATCCCACCTGCTTTAGACTCAAGTTCACATGAGGTGGTTTGAGTGGAGGGAACACGACCGCCGTTTCTGGCTGTGGCTTTTGTGAACTATGACGATGTGCTAGCCATTTTTGGACGTGCATGGAGACCTCTTATCAGCACCATGTGCCCTGGCGGCTAGAGTTTCCGTGCATTGCTGCAAATGTTTGTGTTTGCTGCTACCCTTTCCTTTTGATCTGCGCCTTCTCTCAAGTCGTGGGCCTGTCTTTCAACAAGGGACGCGGCTCCCACCACTCAGGGTCAGCAACATATATTTCTGCTATTACAATTGGGCTAGTGGCTAGTGTCAACCTCAAGAATGAACCATGAGCCCCACACACTGACTGCGAACCCGTTGAGCATTAAAAAGCGTGCTGCCAGAAGCAGGTGTTGAGTTGGGGCACTGAGCCACAGCCAAACTGCTGTCCGACCAAACAACACATTCGTCACAAGAATTGCCATGATAAGAGCAACATGACATGCATCCAAGTGAGACGTAGAACGCGGATCCACCCCACAGAAGCAGGCAGGCATGCTGCCACAATCACTGTCGAAGGGCGTGATGACAGCATGTTTGGATCCAAGTACCCCACTTGGATTGAACATCAAGGTGTGGAATGGTGTGGATTGGATTCGATCCAACCCTCATCTTTAGTCTCCAGGTGGCCAAGGAAGTCACAGCTTTCATTCTTCTCACGCATCCAAGCAGTATGGGTGGAGATGACATGTTTTGCCACTGGAGGGAACCAGATGGAACTACGGGCCAAAAAGCTGCCCATTTTCATCATATTTGGCTTACTTCGTGCTATGCTGTCTCCTTTTCACAACAAAGCAATCCATGTTTATGTAGACATGTCGTCGCAAGTTGTGGACTCATCTTTCTCATGTGTCAGATTTTTTGTCTCAATGGCAATCGAAGTCGGCAGCCAAATTGGCCTTGATGTGTCTTCTGAACCTTTATGACCTGACACGTTGCTGGAAATGCATACACACCAAACCTGCATCGATTTGCTTCAAACGAAGACGGGATCATCTTGCGCAAGAAAATCCATTGCCTCCATCAATCTCAACTCCTTTGCCGAGCAAATGACCATGTTGACTTCTGCAGAGCTTTTCTAGCCACGCCCTTCACAATCAGCCGTCTTGGCTCGAAGCGCCTTCACAGGTTCACAACTCACAACCTTGCCACAAACACATCCAAGCCGTCCCCACAACATTCCTGCCTTGATTTAGCGGCAAAATGCGGGAAATGGGATTAATCTGGCCGCACCCAGTTTGGAGCATGGAGGGGTCCAACGTCATCCTTCGGAGCAATTTTTATACACAGGTGCATACAGTACAAGAATTGTTGACAATGTGGTTCTCCATTCATGTCGTTCTCGGCTGAGCATGCTTGCACAAAGCATTTGGATGCATTTGGCCTGCTTCTGGGCTGCAAAGTCGCCCTTTGTCATGTATAGCACAACATTTCGGCCTGGCAGGGGCACTTCCTGAATTCCTAGAAAAACTCGGTGAGACTACTAACTACTGCTTCCTGCAAAAGGAAGACGAGCTGCTCGAATTCGTGGGTCCTTCAATGACTCAGAGGTACTGCTGTCTGCCACTACAACAAACAATTGCAAGCTCCTTCTCCCGCAGAAATCGCAGCAAGCCAGTGTAGCCTCATTCAGCAACAAGAGTTCAGTGTAACGACTCTCGACTTTGTCAGAACATTCTGCGCTGGAGCACCCCGGCCGACCACCCCACCGCCATTGTGCAAGCGGCGGTGGTGGAAGAGACGTGGAAACACACAGCAAGGCACCACCTCAAAAGCTGCTTCGACGATTGTAGTGAAGATCAGAATCCAATGTACAGAACATTACATATCTAGAATTCTAGAATACATGGTTTTCATGATGGGAGGATTCATCTATTGTAGATTTGTTGTCGGACGTTGTCTGCTTTCAACAAGAAAACGCTTCCATCAAAATAACGCGCACCGTAAACTGGTCTGTCAATCGGTCTGTCGACACAACCTGACGACCCTGACCGCAAATGGACGTTGGGCAGTCAGAGCAGCATCTACGATAGCATCTGTGGCCTATAGAAGCACCGTCACAGCCGTCATATTGACTGGCTAGTACTTGCTTCTGTCTGTAAGATGTCACACAATGGACTATACATATCATCTAAATGTCCACAAGAAGATGCAGCAAGAAATCGGCCTCATCTGGGTGCATTGCAACTACCACCTCTGCTCCAAAAACAAGCTCCATCGAAGAGTCCTTGGATGTGAAGCTTACACATGTTTACACCGTTTTTATATTCGTTTTGAAATTAAATTCTATTCTTGTTTCTAATAGCTTCTTGTTCCTAGTAGTAAGGCCAGGAGCCCCTAGTAGCGTCCTTGCTCCTAGTAGCGATGCCAGGAGTCCCTAGTTGCTCCAAGACCTCGGAATATTTCCCAGCTGGCCCAGCGGCATCAAAGTGCTCGCAAATGCGGTCGACCGAGCCCACTGGGTGGACATCTTCACCCTCCACAGCCTCGCCAAACGCGACGGTCTGGGCGAGCTGTTTTGATCGTTTTCGTCTTTGGAAGGCCATAAATCCTTCCAAGCAAAAGGTCTGGATTGATGGATATTAGTGGATTCAGCTCGGGATGAGAAAAGTTGCAGCACTTTGCCTGGCCTCACTCTCAAGTTCATCCGGCTTGTCTGACACGTCAGGAGGCCTCAGCTGCATGTACGAAGAGACACTATTTGCACTGGAACACAACTTGGTCTATCCTAACAGCTTGTCAAACACTATTTCTGCTGTGGGGCCATCTTCGGCTACTGGGGATGTGGTAGCTGATTGTCTCAAGATAGGAGAAAGCTGCGATCGAACTTGACTAGTGAATACTAATAGTGACAGTTTGGGTTGGCACTGCAATGGACATGATAGGACTGTGTGCGAACTGCAAGCTTGCTAAGTCTGATGGCTGTACCTTGCTCTGCTTCACCATTAGGCAGCCAGCCGTGGATCCACCATCAAGACTTTCATCCCGCGGGTGCCCAAAGCGGTGGCAAGAGCTCCTGCAACAGACATGACATGTAATTAGTTCCTCAACCATCTCAATCCTCTCAAATGGTAGATTATGAAGATGTTGAAGCCCAGTCCCCTCCTTTACCACCTGCAACCTCAAGTATGTAGCCACCGCACATGCCCTGTCAGGCCAGGCCATTGTCACAACTGCCTGAGGACTGGGGAGCTCGCTTGTGGGCGCCTCCAGCAGCGCTGAAGAGACAAAGTCTGCAAAAATGTTGTGGCGGTGCTCCTCTCAAGTTCTCAATTTATCAATGGCTTGCAACGTACATTCCTTTCGCTACTGTCTTTGCAAAGACTGTCTCCAGGCAAAGGTGTGTCTGCAGGTCTATATCTGTATTTATATAGGTCACGGCAAAATTGATGGTAGCTGGTGCACCCATAAAACAGCGCATGTGATGGGCGCTGAGACCTGGTCTGCACTTTTGAGGCACACGTGCTTACACAGCGCAAACCTTATCTGAGAACTCCAGAAATCCACGTGCTCGGGAAGAAACACTCAGCAGCTTTCCAGCCTGAAAGCTATTGTTTGAGAGCACCAACCAACACCAAGCCAGAAAACAGTTGGACAATTTTTGGGCATCTTAGCTCCGGCACATGGACAACTGGAGGTCCAGAGCCATCTTTGTTTCCTTCCTGGGCGTTGTTGAAACCGCATCAACAATGCTGGCATTCTTGGGAGGCCATGCTCTGTTGGAAACCGTCCATTTCTTGGTTGTCCCTTGGTCCATTTCATATCCGAGACACACGGAAGACCACAGAGCATGCAATCAAGAAGTCTCTTCTTTGCAGAGCCAATGCCCGGCTTGTGGGTAGTTGCTTCTTCAGAGCCTGACCCATCACAATCATCATTCTGGCGCCAAGTAAGTTGAGGCTTAAACACTGCCTCGTCTCGACAATGGACTTTAAAGTTTCATTAAAAGTGGAACACAACATAAGATCTGGTATTCTTTGCCTCTAAATCACCTGCGCCGCATCTCGTTGGGGCATTTTGGAAGAGTATCTGGACTCGCTCACCTGGAGCTGGATGGGTGTGAGATCTGTCAACGTGCCTTTGGTGGAATGTGTCTGCAAAATCCCTAAACATCGCCGACCTGCCTTTTGGGACTGAATATGGACACAACCCACATTGGTCACTTTGTTATCCTCTTTGAGCCCAAAACATGTGCTGACCCCTTTTTTACTGCTTAGCAGCAAAGGAATGAAGCCTCCTGACTTGACACACGAAACTGGAGCTTGGCCTGAGCTGGCCACACCAGCTACAATCGCCATCTGACGACCAAAGCTTCGGTGGCGATCGACAAGCACCTCCAAACACTCCTGCACCATTGATTCATTCATGGCCATACAACGTATCTCTCAAGATTTTTGACCTCTCCAATCATGTTCAGGTAGGTTTCGAGTTTCGACTTATGGTCAATTTTCTGTCAAAACTCTTTGACCTGAATCTGAATGTCTGAATGACGGTCCGAAAATGATGACTGCTCTGAATCTGGTTGCTGCCTCCTCGCTTGGTCTGTCTTCGCCATCTGCTGTGGCCATTTGGATGTCTAATGGATCGGGGAAAAGGCTCCAGTCACTTGCAATATCTTGCAATAAAGGCTTCTTCAGGTTCAAAACCGTGAAACTCCTGTGGCAAACTCTTCATTGATTTTGCAATTTAATTGAAACCACAATTCCTTCCACTTGAGGCACGTGGCACGGTTGCATGGTTTGTCAACCTTGGGAGCCAAAGGCTTTTTATGTGCTCCACATTTAGGCCAGCAAGCTGAACACATTACATGCGTTCTTCGACTGAGTGGATCGGCTCACTTTGCCTCCTTTTTCTGTTTTCATCTTTTTCCGTGCGTTCTGGCACCAGCTGTCACTTGTAGCTGCCGAAGCACCTTGGAACGGGACATATCAAGATGAAACATTCATTGGCTTCCAGTCAGGGCACCACCAAGCATGACCTTTCGGACAGCACTCTCTTGTCACACCTTTTTGCAAAACAATTGATCAGCGTCTTCAGCGACCATTATGTCCGACCAGCCAGTTCGACCACTTGATCATACTTGATCTTCCAACTCGATGTGGACACAAACGTCCGCAAAAGCATGAGAAACAGAAAGGGCAAAGATCGTCTCACACTGGTCCTGGGAGTCCTGGGCCGGTCTCTCCAGGTGCCTCAGCCTCAGCGTCTCCACCCTTGGTCATCGTCTCGGTCGTCTCGGTCGTCTTTGTGGAGGGCAGCACCATCCTGCCCAGGTCGACGTATGCCTTTGAGGGATCCGTTTGAGCAAAATGACAACGAAGTCAAATGATCTCAAGATATCTCAATGACTCAAGTCGTTTCTTTCTCAAAACCTAGGTGCCAGATGGTGCCAGACTGCCAGAACACAACACGGGAGTGCCCTTTAAGATGACACCCGCGATATTCCTGGCTTCTTTGAACAACCTGACATGTCCTGGCCTTTCTGGCAGTCCCACATTGTGCATGGATTTATGCAAAACGCATCAAAAAGCAACGCAAGCGCGCGCGTGCCCTGCTCGCCCTGTCCACCCTGCGCCTTGCCAGCGCCACACACAATCGTTTTCCTCAATCTGCTTGACTCAGCTTGGAGCATCTAGTCTAGCGCCCAAGCCTGGAAGGCTGAGGCATTGTCGTGTTTGCAAACCTAGAACGAGACTTTTAGCTTAGGTATTTTCAAGAGCAATGAAACGTATGGTTTCTATTAGGTGCTTGACGTGTAGGTACGGTGTGGGAGAAGTACGGGGTACGGTGTTTGAGTACGGGTGCCGGTACGGGGTACGGTGCGTAGGTACGCATCAATGGTACGGGTGCTGGTACGGGGTACGGTGCGCAGGTACGCATCAAGGGTACGGGGTATGGTACGGGGTACGGTGCGTAGGTACGCATCAATGGTACGGGTGCTGGTACGGGGTAGGTACGCACTGAGGGTACGGGTGCTGTGCATGTGGGGTGTGGCTCTGGGCGCAAGGGCGTGTGTATTGGTGTAGAGGGGGAGCCGAGATGTTGGCAATATCCACAGTGTTTGGGTGTTGGTTTGGTTTTCATGCTTCAGTTTCAGCAAGTGAAGCCGTGAGTTCTTTTTTTTTTCAATGTTCTGCTCGTTCAATCTTAATGTTTCAAATCTTGACCAAGATTTGCCCGGCCCTACCGGTCTTGAATGCTGGCCCAGAATTCAGGCCTTATTGTGCGGAGATACGGATACTAACCATCAAAATGACGTTGGTGAATATAACCCCCAGTACTATGGAGCAAGTGAAAACCAACGTGTCATCGTCGACCCTTTCTTTTCAGAATCTGTTTGGCTTTTGCCTTGCAGAGCCGCAATGATTGCTGCACGCATGGGCAGACTGCTTGTGCGCTCAGCTTCATCAGTGGGCATGCTCTCTCCTAGTTGCCGCATGGCCATAGCAAGGGCAGGCAGGACAAGCAGACTTGGACATGATGACAATGCTCACACAGGTTTCCATCCAAGTGTTTGACGGGTGTGACTGCAATTCGCAGGTAAACAAAAGAAGTAGAAAATGCTGCAGCCAAGAAGCTGCGATTTGTGAGGACATTTGGTGTTTGCAACACGTGCCACTGCAACACAGTCTCTAAGTCAGGCATATTAATTTGCAGGTTGCAATTCCGATGAACTTACTTCGATCTACTTTTTGCCATGACTTCGGGGGCACATGCTTCAAGCCTTTTAAACTTCCATTTGATCGTGAGCAGTACGGCAGGAAGATCACAAAGTACAATGAGGAACACGTAGTGCACATGAAGGACTTGATCAACATAGATTCCTTGGAAAGGAAGCAGATTGTCAAAGGCCGAGGCAGGCCTTCTTGACTGGCTTGCCTTTCCCACCACATTACTTTACTTGCGCTGCTGCTGCTGCTGTTGATGTGTTTTCTGGGTAGTGACTCTGTTGATTCCGTTTTTCCAATTCGACCAATTTTACAGGACATGGTAATGTCAGGTTGATTCAAAGTCCCCCGCTCTGTAGGTGCCTACAAAATATGGACATCGCAAGCAATGTTGCGAGTTGCGCTTGGCTCTGAGATTATGGGCAATTAGTTGGCGAATCAAGTTTGGACCAGCTCAGTTTATCTGGCGAGTTTTTGACCTAGGCTTGGCAGATCTGTGGAAAGCGTAGTGGCAGAGCTTGGTGCGAAGCGACGGAATGCAGCACAACTACCTAAGTCCAAATTGAAAAGCCCAACCATGTTGCTCGTGCTTTCGGTGCTTTTGAGTTTGTGAATCAAATGGTGTCGGAGGCATAGGGTGACTGCAGCTGCAACTCAGGTTCAGCCTAAACTCCATAGCATTTTGGCAAGGAACCTCAGGATCTACTGTGCATCAGGCGAACGGCTAACCTATTCTTGGACTCGGAATGCGGCTACTTGTCAACTTGTCATTGGTTCCTTTCCATCAGTCCAAGACAGGTGCGAAACGCGCTTTGTCATCTTTATCTGACAAAGCAGCGTCAGAATTGTGCCAGGATACATCAGGACTACAGCATGCGTTGTGTTGTGTCTCATGTACTGTTGTGTCTCATCTCATGTGAAGGTGAAGAGCTGTTGAGTTGGATTGTTTCATGACTCATGTCCAACGTTGTGATTGCTTCAGGACTCGCCACACACTCTTGGGATCCAGATCGAGTTTGATGAAACCGGTCAACAAATCCAAACACGGGAAAACATGGTGAAAGTGCTTGGCACGTTTCAAGTCATGGCATCTAGATTCAATCAGGTGATGTCATTTTTGATACTTACACGCCTTGCTCGATTTGTCAAAACAGTTTTGAGACTCAGGTATCTCGCACTACCTACCTTGTAGCTGCTCGCGAAAACACTGACCATATCAAGCACATCTCTGTCAGATGCTCATGATTTTATGATTTATGATATATCATATCATCATAATATCTAATGTGTTTTTTTGCAATATTCCTACCTGGCCTGCTATTGTTGCCAGGTCGTGAATCCTCCAGTCCTCTTGCGGAGAGCTACAGGAAGTGCCATATGGGAAGGGTTGCAAAAGTCTGCGGTCGTTGAACCACTAGGCCGGTGGAGGGGGAGCGTGCCGGTGGTTGGAGTCATTGCCCATGCTGTCCAGGTGTAGCTCCCCATGTTCAGAGGCTGATTCTTTGCTTCGTGTGCGACGGCGCCACAGCAAACCTGTGTATGGTTTCCCGTTTGGGGCGTTTGGCCAACGACAACGTTCTGGCTTCTTCCCAAGAACGTTTTGGAGTATGATTCTGATTGAATTTGAACTGACAATAGTCTCTTTCCTTTGGAGTTTGCCACCGAACCGCTTCTCAGGTTCACCGACAAGGTTGTTTGTTGCCGGGGCCTGAATCATTTTGGAGGAAATTGAGCCAGAAGGTTTGTGGCCAAGGCACGAGGTAAACCATGTGCCGGAGATTGCCTTGAAAACTGTTGGGGATTTGGCAGACATGTAGCTTGAACAGCATTAGTTCAGAGTTCACTGACGCTGGAAACTAGGATCTTGGGCAAATGTAAACAGGTTTCAATTTCAATTGCTTCTGTTGCAGCCCGCAGCTTCCAAACATTGGTCATTTGATCAAAAGTGCTGCGAGGTTTTGTTTCTCTTCGTTGTTGGCAAAGGGCTCTTTGTATCATGACCTCATCGCAAGCTGCCAGCGGATTTTCATGCGAGATTTGGAAATCACCTTTGAAAAGTAGCTGGACGTGAATTAACGTTTTTCAGGAAGACCCGATCCTTCAAAATAGACCTTGCAAGTTCAGCCAAGGCCAGACCCTCGACATCAAGCATACGCCAAAAAGGTTTTGGAAGCGGCCACTTTCAAGAGTACCACCCTTACTGTATCTTACTGTAGTCACTGTAGTCAGTCTGAGTCTTATGTGTTGAGTTCCGGCTGCGGCAGCTTAGGTCCATCGTTTGGTGACCATGACAAGCACGGACCTGACGACCGAGAATTGCAGACCTTTCTTCAACTGGCAAACGGAGTTTGAACCTCAAATGATTGGCATGGGGAGCAAAAACAGAGTCAATCATCTGAAGGATTGGCGACAAGGTGTTCCTACACACCATTGCTCCCTGACATGTATTTGCGGGGGCGTTTCCAAAGAACTTACTGGTCGATCGCTTAGATATATTTTACTTCTACTTCTTACTTCATTTGGTGCTGAATGTTTGATTTCGTTGCCGTAAGGTGCTCGCATATGGCTTTCTGCGATGCATGTTGTGTTGGGCACCCGGGTTGCTTCTTTACACGGTTTTGTTCTTTACGCGGTTTTGTTCTACTTCGGAGGTTCAGAAGTAGACCATGCATCCCTGTGCTATCACGGTGGACTATGACCGGTGAATGCATTCGGTTCTTTATGCACTGTCCTTAGTGAATGACAGGCCTTCCTTCTTTGTAGACAGTTCGTTTCAATTCTAGCAACTGTTAGGCTTGCCACAGCCTTCCATGGTTTGCTTGGACAAGCGTGGCCGACGCCTAAGACAATGGAATTTGAATAAGAAAGCTTCAGTGAGTTGTTGGCCTCCAACAGAATAGACATAGAGATTGACTCAAATTGACTCTCACTCTGACATAGAATTGGAACATGGAACAAATAACTAGCGCTTGCCCAGGGCCGCATTGTTTGACGCAACATCGTCCACGCGAACGTCGACTTCACTGGCGCAGGAGATTTCCTCATTTTCACTAGAGTCAATGGGTCTTGCTGAAACAAGCGCAGCTCAATACCAACGAATTCAACGAGTACGAAGCAGAAAAGCAACCATCTTTGTACAAAGATCTTCTACCTTGACCAACCTGATAACGTCTGCGATTGCGCTGGTGCCAACTGAACTAGTTTTGTTGGCACCTTAGTCACTGCGAGCATTCTGTACTGTACAGTGTAGTTCATGAATTCAGACGAGTTTGTTTGCTGAGGCTGAGGCTGTTTTGTTTCTCATGTTGGAGTCGGAGTCGGATCTGTTGCTGAGGTTCCGTTTGTTTAAAGAGCAAAAGGAAACTTGGTTGGATGGAGACAATCCGGGCAGACTACCAGCGGTCGTGTATACATCCATGACAAGGTTTCGGCATGTTTTGGCAGGAAGCAAATTGCTTTTCTACGTCTACTATCACTATCACTACCAACTATATAGCTAACTCAGTTCCCTTGCAGAGTACATCTATTCACAGCTGCAACTTCAAATAACTATTACAATTACGTTCCTAGGACGAGCTCTGATCAGAGCTCTACAACTCTCAAAGATCACCGCACAGAAGGCAGCGTGAACACGCCCAGTTTTCCTTCCATGCGACGTGGGTAAGTTGGAAGGTCGATCGAAAACTGTGTCATCGAATCTGATGACCTCTTTGAATGAAAATCAAAATCTGGTATCAAAATTCACCCCGACATTTCAAGGTGTTGAAGCATGCACTTGATCGATTGCAAATGAACTTCGAAATACAGAAATCAGGGTGATCAGTACCCACTATGAGAGTATGAATCACGGCGATCGCCGCCTAAACGGAAAATATCATCAATGCAGGTGATCACCACCGCGATCTTGCAGCTGAACAGCTACAAATGACCCGGCAGGTCTTTTCTCACTGGCAGCGTGAGCAGGCTGCAGCATCATCCAGGA